TCAACGCCCGAAAAAACGGTTAATCCGTTCAAAATGCATGTTTTGGAGATACCACAATCGAAGTGGAAAAAGTGCTTCGAAAATTGGGTCAAGCGCATGCAAAAGTGTATTGATCTTTCTGGAGAATATATTGAAAAACAATAAAGCCATTTACGATGTTTAATTTTTGTTTTTTTTTCTCTATCCCTGAAATATAAAAGGCAACCCTTTAGTACATAATCCATATGATTGTTTTCCGGATTATTTTTATTTGGCATTGTTTCGTAATTTACAATATTTTCAAGGAACGCACGATGATAATTGCTTAAGTTTAGTTGGAATTTTTTAACGAAAGTATCAATTATATCTTTTGGATTTGTTGCAAACGTTTCATTGTTTAATTCGAGAAATGGAATTACTAGAGATGTGTATTTCCCATTAATTTCTTAAATTTTATTCCATATCTCTTTTGCTTATGTTTGGCTTGTTATGGTGGATGTGAATGTTTCTCAGGACTTATTTTTACTTTCTTTAATTATTTTGCGGGCTGTAGCACGAAGCTTTTTTAAATTGATGAAGTTTTCAGTAGTGGTCTGTTTTTTGACTCTATTAAGTGCATTGTGGCTTTTTTGAAGAGCGATTTTACAATCGTCATTCCAGCATAATGCAGATCATTTTCTACTACTTTTAGTTTTTGAATTTCCGGTGACAACTGCTGTTGCTGAGTTTATAATTGATAAAAATATGTCGATTGTTTCGTCTTTGTTGTCTGGATTGAATTCTTGGTCTACTTCTATTTATGTAAGAGAGTGATTTATGTATTCTTTATATTTATGCCAATCTGCCTTTTTTAGGTTCCATTTTGGTAGTTAATAATGGGTATTCGAAAAAGTTCATGGCGTTTTGTCACTAGATGGATTTAACATCGTACATATTTGTTTACGCTAACCTATTAAGACATACTAGATGTCACTTGAAAGGTTACAATTTATACTACGGATAGAAAAAACAGGTATTAAATTTCTTTATTGATTTAACAGTAATAATGTCTTGAACATGGAGATAAATAATAAGAAAATTCGCTACATCTTACGATGTCACTAGAGAAACTACTCTTTTTCTCTGAGCCGCTCCGTTTACTTATGTGTTTATAACTCAAAAATGGTAAGAGACGTTGAAAAAATATTCAAATAAACATTGCACTGTTTTTAAATGCTTATAAACCATTGTCAAACAATTTAAACAAAAAAAAGAATACTTTTTTCAAAAATTACTCTCCTCCTTGAAATTTTAACAAATTTTGATTTATTTCTAGATTAATAAAAGCGTTTTTTTTATTCTGAATCCAACGGTGTGTATTAGTTTATAATTATCATAATGGAAAATGATGTGATATTGTAAAATTGTCGTTCTATTAGTCGATATTGCAACCAATAAAGTAACGTTTGTGATGAAATTCGTTAGTTTCAATACTTTGGTGGATATTTACACGCACTATTTGCTGCATTCGTTAAAGAGAATTCGTCGTTTTTGATCCGCTTAGCATCGGCTTCGAGACAAAAATTATACGATCGGGTGCCAATATTCATCTCCAAAACTTTAATGATTCGTAGAATACTACATACTTGGACCATCATTAAAATTGCATACATCAATATCAGTCGTTATATTAGGTGGACTGGAAAGAAATGTCATTTTTGCCATCTTAAATACTTGTTCATCATTTATCAGCTCATTGATTTTTCTGGCATCGAAAATTTGCACACTAGGTGACAAAAGGCTGCTGACAATGAGGGCGATTATATAATGAATTAAAGATAGAAATTTATTGGAAATTTATAAGACTTTTTTGCCATTTGAATATCATTTAGAAGCCGAATTCCAAACAGTAGCATTGAAATCTTTCGTTGCTATTTGGGTGAACATAGACCTTAATTCCACAAATTCAGACACACCACAAATCAGGGTTATTTCTAGGATAAGAGCGAACCATTATAATTTGAATGAATCTCTCGCAAAAAAGAACATGAAGATGGTATGTGTGATTGTGGACTGAGCGAGGAGGATATCGACCATGTGATATTTGACTGTGGTTTATACAGGGTGTTCAAAAAAAAGCATTTAATATTTATATGGTGTATAGGGCACACTGTACTGAGTAAAAAAGCTTTAGTAAACATAGGTCCAAAGGTCAACCTTTCTTGAGATATAAACATTTTTGTTTGTTAGTGACATGATTGACTTACTACTGGGTTTTTGATATTTATAGAAGATTTTCCACGTGTCCACCGGTCGTTTCTGTACGCGCTTGGCATCTTCTTCTTACAGAACCGCGAACTCTCTCGAAAGTCCCACATTTCTGTCGAATTATTTGACAAGCATGGTGGATTCGATTACGTACTTCTTCTAAGTCATTTATCGGCGTGGAATACACTTGGCTTTTTAAATATCCCCATAAAAAGAAGTCCAGAGGATTTAAATCGGAGGATCGAGGAGGCCATGCAACTGGTCTACCACGTCCAATCCACCTTTGACCGAACACCGTGTTTGAAGCCGGCGACTGACTTGCAACAGAACGCTGTAATGTAACTGCTCGGCACGAATTTTACGGTTCGACGCCAGCGTTACATTACAAGGTCGTTTTTGGAATCACAAATGCTCGCTTCGAATTCTCGGTTGAATTCTCTCTCAATGCTTCCTACTCAATTCAGTGAAAAGTAGAGGATCAAAGAGGTTCGTCAAAAAACCGACAGACCAGTGGAGCACGGTCGAGGGCGAACCGAGCGCAAGAGTCTGTCCAGACTAAGCGAATACTCTGGCTAAGCCGGCAACTGACTTGTAACAGAACATTGTAATGTAACGCGAGCATTCGCTTAGTCTGAACGGACTAGCAAGCGACAAACCGAGCCGCTCTTGCGCTCGGTTCGCGCTCGACCGTGCTCCACTGGTCTGTCGGTTTTTTGACGAACCTCTTTGATCGTCTACTTTTCACTGAACTGAGTAGGAAGCATTGAGAGAGAATTCAGCCGAGAGTTCGAAGCGAGCATTCGTGATTCCAAAAAGGACCTTGTAATGTAACGTTGGTGTCGAACCGTAAAATTCGTGCCGAGCAGTTACATTACAGCGTTCTGTTGCAAGTCAATCGCCGGCTTTAAGTGCTCTCTCACAAAATGAGGTGGTGCTCCATCATGCATGTACCACATAAAAAATCTCAATTCTGACTAAATCTCAATGAAACAAGTAAGTCAATCTTGATACTAGCAAACAAAAATGCTTACATCTCAGAAACGGTTGACCTTTGGACCTATGTTTACTAAAGCTTTTTTACTCAGTACAGTGTGCCCTATACACCATATAAATATTAAATGCTTTTTTTTGAACACCCTGTATAATCTAGAAAGAAACGTCATTGTGAATAAACTCAAAGATGAAATTGCTATCGCGGGCAATTCCACTAAAGAATCAATTAAACTAAATAAGATAAAAATTTACAAAACCATAGTTAAATAGCTAAATCTTATAAATAAGAGAGTACGAGTGGAATAGTAACATCTAAGGAAAGAAAGAATTGTGATAATCAAACAATATTAATATAGGATAGTAGGAGAGTGCTAAAGAAAAAGACTTTGTGTTCATTTTACAGCAGAAAGTATACTAGATAGATAGCTTATAATCCTATAAGCTAGATATAAAAACATAAAAGTACAATTATATTACAAATGTAACTTTAAACTAACTAAAAAAGGTGCCATCCACTTACTAATAAGTAGACTATCTTATGTAAAGCCTACGGTAAAGTTTATAAAACAAATTATACTATATTTTATATATGTATATTAAATAAGATATATGTTTATACATTATAAGGAATTTAAGTTTTAAGAAACATCATATTTTCGTTTCATTTAAGCTTTAATTGAACAGAACACATAAATCTGTGATACTAAAGTAAATACGTAGGATTTAGGAAACCATGTACAAAGTTAATTTTAAGACGAACAACGTTAAAAAGATGTAAAATTTAATCTATGTTGAAGACAGTGCAATATGGAAGATACCCATGCACTTTAATAAAAATAATAATAATAATAATAATAATAATAATTCCAATGAAAAAAAAAAGTACTTTCAGGCAATAAACATTTTACTCCATCTTCTAGAAGGTTCGAAGCAACTTTTAAGCCAATAAACGAAAAATCGATTTTTCGACAAATTTACAGTGGTGTTACCCCTTAATATAATTCATTAGAAAAATAATGCCGCAAACCGCGATTCTCTATCACGTTTAGTAGTTGTATCTATTTTAAATTTGATAATATCACATTTATTTGACATAGCGACAGTGACCTTTCCTTCGGGCTTTTGGTATCTGACTGTAAAGCTTGTTTACATTCTGTAATAAATCATTATGACATATGCAAATTTCTTTCTATTCGAAACATAATTCTATAACACCTCATCAGGTTGACTATGATCGAGGGCTATGCTTTCAAAATCCACCAAAGTACTATTACATCCACCCAGTGAATCTATATGAATACGTTTCAGGGCGTTTGACATTGTTTTTATTTAATCTAATTTATCAGGAAATAATACCGCAAACCGCAATTCTTTATTACGTTTAGTTTATAATTTGCATTCATTATAAATATAGCATTATCAAATTTGAAATGAATGTAACTTCTAAACTAAACGCGATATGAAACGTAAAATGAAAACATGGTGAAATCACGGTGCCATGGAAATCTCAATTGAATTCGTGTTGGGCGAGTGTTTACTGTACTTTCGCGAAAAAGCGCGGGAAAATATTGAAATCTCGTTCAACGCGCTTTAGGAGAGTAGCTGTACTCCCGAAAAAAAGGGGAGAGGCCAAAGGAGGTGTGGCCGTTGCCGAAGGCGTGGCAGCAGGTGCGGCTTCAGGAATGTCTATTACCTCGATGGGCGTGGCTCCTGTTAGTAGTCCAAGCCGGTAGTGGGGATGACGGCATCGAACCCCACCAGCCGCAGTCGCAATTGAACCGTTCGATGGTGAGCATGTTACGATGTGTCGCGTTACGGGTGGATCCTCTTTTACCGGAAGCGAAGGAGATTATCTACCCGTCAATTGAATCTTAACTTTACATGCCATATTTCGAAAAACGAACCGCATACGTCGTTCTACCGCGTGTGGAAAAGTCGTCCGTTGAAAACTTTTCTTTGTGAGTGTGATCGGACGAATTTGTAAACGTCGCCGCTAAGCGTTCAGCAGAAATGCGAGTGGATTAAACGTTTCGAAAAGTGATTATTCGTACTCTGTTACGTGCGAAGGTGAATAATTGTGAGTGTTTTGAAAATTGTCGAGCCAACAATCGGATACAAGGCCTGTTAGGTCGCAGCTTTAAGCCGGCCGGCGCCCGCATTAAAGGGAATATACCAGAAGCGTCTGACTGACGACGATCGTTTCGACCCTCGATATACACCTTGTGTCGCGATTTCACATCGATCTCCACCCGCGGATCGATTCTCTGTATCGAATTCTTAAAAATCGATCGTTACGTTTGATCTCGTTCCAGCGTTTTTCGAGAATACTTCAGCATCGAGATGAGTGCCCACTTGCCGCGATTCGGAGAAAGAAATTTAGCGGAACTGTAGAAATTCGTCTCCACCCGATATCCCGTGACATCCGTTGAAAATGTAGCTTCACACGATTGATTCGTGATTTCAGCCATCTTCCAAAGAGAAGAGCGCCGCGCGTCAGGGATTGCGTCCCTCGGTCCGCGAATGTTTACGTTCTAACGGTTCGTTTCACCGAGCCGAGTTTTTGTTATCGATCAAAACACGATCGATTCGAGAACACGAGTTCTTTGTTGCGCGATTCTAACAACACTAGTGCGAAAGAAATCGGGAAACGACGAGTTCTTTGTTTCCAAGTAAGTGTCGCGCGAAAGTTCCGCGAACTTTGTTCACTGATCTTCGAGTTTCTCTTTTTGGCTTGTGATTTTAAGAGGAACTCGACGTCGCAAAGTGAATAGTGAACGAACAAGTGATATTAGTGAATACGAGTTGTAAAGAAATATCGTGACGGTAGTGACAAGTTCCGACGGCTCTGTTGTCGCGAGTTTCTTCGTCGAAGGAGGATGATTTTGTGAACGGATATTTTTCTTTCTTGGGGACTTCTCGCCAGGATGACCGAAACCTGTCACCACGTTGCGTCCGCATAGCCGTCACAGTGGAGTTCTGCTTAATCGCAGGTAAGTGTTTTTTTTCATACGCGTTAAAAGATACATGTACAGTTTGCGACAAAAAGATAGCACACCATGTAAATATAATTTGTTTCAACTTATGAACTAATGTGTCACATTATTTTTGAGATTTGTAGTGTTTTAATAAGAATAAGAAATTGTATTAATATGTTTGAATAACTTTACTATAGAAAGAAAAAACTTTATTTCATAAATTTGGAAATCTGTATTAGTGTACATCATAAATGCATACAATATCTTCAGTATACTTATACATCACTGTACAACTAGGGTTTACCAATTATCCAATTTTAACAATAGAAAATTAGTGCGTTGAATAGATAGCACATTACTCTTTCGATAATGAAACTATATACAAAAATATTATTTTAATATTTTTAAGCTACACCTTTTGCTTGCATGACTTGTCTTAGATGTTTTGGCACCAAATTATTTAATTTTACAACACATTTTCTGTTTAATGGTCTCCAGTTGTGTTTGATCCTACTTTTTAATTTTTTAATGCTATCGAACTGCATTCTTTTGGCATATACTATCTAACTAATAATTCTCAATTATAATTTAGTCGGTCTATCTTGCTGACCATTCTAAGATCTTAATACTTTGTTGTTTAATGCACTCTTTCACAGACATTGGCATATGGATGCTTGCATTATATTCTTGAAAAATAAAATTTGGCTTCTTCATTTTATGTATCTGCATACTTCCTTATCAGTTTGTCTATAAGTGTTATAAACTGTTTACCTTTCCATTTGTAAAGTACATTTCAGTGTTTCGAAAGTATCAAAATTCTTACCTCCACAACTTGTATGTGAAATGCATTATATTTACTTCAGCCTCTATTGTAATTTGTCTGGCAGAATTTGATGTTTATAGTAGTTGTCATTTTTAAACATCCTGTGCTTTTTTCTTGCCATAATTATTTACATTTCCGAATAGTTTATGAATAGACTGCAGATTTTATACATGTACAATATAAATAATATAATGAACACGTGTTAAACATAACCAAAAGGTATGGGCACTTATACAAAATGATATAATAATGATAATTGTAGAATATATTCAACATGCAGTAGCCTGTTTCGCCTTTTATTCTAAAAAATGGTTTATCATGAAATTTGTATTCGATAAGAGTAGGAAAATGAAAGTAATGAATTTTGAAATGATATCTGCAAATGAAAATAAATTTCTTTTTAATCGGATGAAATAATTTATCTAAAGTCAAACAATGAATTGAATTAACACTGTTAAACAAGAGGGTGGTGGTATAATGTTTTAGGGGTGATATTGGAAAAGTTCAACAATAAGCGTAAAAGTATGCTGCTGCAAAGTTTATCATTACTAGACTGCAGATTTACACATAACCAAAAGATACGTGCTCTTATGCAAAATGAAATAACAATATTATAATATTAATCGTACAATACATTCAACATTCATAATGTATATTTTATGTATTTTTTCTATATTATTGTACGCCGTAAATGCATAAAATTTGCAATCTAATAATTACTAATATAAAAAAAAAAGGAAAAATCCTATTAAACTCTTGAGGGGCGAATTTGAAATGGAGTTTTTCTTTACATTAATCGAACTCACACAATTAAAACCAATCTTTATTCGTAAATTGATTTTAGTATACAAATATGCTGCCTCACTTTAATATTGTACATTTTTTCATTCTGAAAGGTAGTCTGATTGTAACTAACGATAATTTTGATATAAAAAAAAGATACTCGTGTATGCCAATATCTCTCAAGAGTTTAATAATTAGTTAGAACGGATGCAAATAGAACGATGTTTATTTCGGTGGTTTGTTTAATGCAAAAATGAAAAAATACCCGTGAGTGAGTTTATCGCGGAAAAGTTGGAGAATTTAAAATCCATAGGATTCGTTTTCTTAATTTCGTTAAATAGAAGGAGGATGGAACAGCATTACTTCTGTTCTATTTTGTATTATATATGTGAAGATAATTGCAAGAAGTTGTATTTGTTTGACTTCATATTTCTGAAATTTTTAATAAAATTTAACGTCTAACACTTGTTTTATTATGTGAAAGTTTTCTTATCTGAAAAATGTTGGCTCTGAATTAGTTTATATAACGGAGGTACTATTGTAATATCCATATTGCAAGAATAATAGAAGTTTATATTAACACATGTTATTGTGTGTAGCTTATAAAAAGTATGCGGTTGGAAGAGGGTGAAAAGTGAATTCTTTATGTCGAGACTATATTGTTTTGACGACGAGGAAAAAATATTCCGAATACCGCACAGTGATAAACAAAGGGAGGTCACATAATGTTGCAAATGGTTTTGTGTGAAAATATAATTTCGTTTTATAATGTAAACTGTGGTTCCTAATGAACAAATAATGAATCAGAAGTTGTTTATTCAGAAAAGTTTATCCAGGTATGAAATATGCTCGTCTCTTTGTATAGTATCGTTTGCTGTTCGAGTGACTACATTCCAAGAAAAGTAAGGATTACATTGTCGATAATAAAATGTTTAACGTTATAGAAATTGTATCTTAAAACTAGAATTTTTAACTCGGTTAATTTGACTCATGCGTACAAACAAAACTTTTGTCATAAGTTTTGATGACTGTTGTTAAGATAGAAAACTAATTATATTGATAAAATAATTTACTCTTCGTGTGTTAGATGTATGCGTTGACCGTTGGTAGCTCTAGTCTTAAACTACGAATAGTAGTATATTTTTAATAGTTTAAAAACGAAATTTAATCCTAGTGGAAATGATTGAGAGTATTGGTCTAGCAGTGAAGGTGTTAAATAATTACATCCTTGCAATTGCTTGCACCATGGTCTAATTATTTGTACTTATGTATTTAGTATAGTAGTATACTGAGAATAGAAGATAATTATATTGATAAAATAATTTATCCTTTCTCTCTTTCTAATATCAAAGGTGTAATAGTATGTATATTAGATGTGCGTTGACCGTTGGCAGTTCTAGTCTTAAACTATGTAACTATAACAGTATAGTTACAATTACTACTATGTAATTAGGAATATATTGTTTCTATTAGCAGCGATACAGACCAACGTTAAGCTATTCTGAAGGCTATCTAAATAGTGTCAATACTAATAACCACAGGTGGAATGTATTGCAATGCGTGTAGCACTTTCAGATAAATATTCGTTTCAAGTAACACTTCGTAACACTAATTTCTAATGAGGTAATTTTATTCTAATGAGAATGAACACATGTTTTTCTACAAATAACCTTCGAATAAATTTGCGATAGATGTGATTGCATTTTACATTGTCCTGATGTTGAACCATTACTAGACTAGTATAATAGAAGTAAGATTAGAATAGTATTTCTATTAATATTTCTATTATTTAAGGTTTAATTTGCAGCTAGAACATTTCTATTAATTAATAGAAATTATTTATAATCTTCAGTTCCATATTTCCCATCAGTGGTATATTTTCAATACATATTTACATAGTATGTATATTATTTATTGTTAATAAAAAATATTTCGTTTTTCGGGAATTTGTATTTCTTTAAAATATGTTTTATAATATATAGACATTATTATTTAAATGTGTCTCAACAGAAAAAGATAAGAACTGTTGTCTCAGATCCCATATTGTTGTATATATAATTATATGGATAAATTAATGTAATGAAAAATTATATTTGGATTAATATAATTATTTGACTTTCGATTGATTTAATAATTATTAAAAATACAAGGAAATAATCTTTTCCTTTTCTTTCATTGTAAGAATTCAATTTGGTTGGCAAGAATTTTTTTCTGAATTCTTTGATTATAATCCGTTACTTGGACGTATTATTAATCAAATTATATGTTTACGATTGGGGAAAACATGGTTTTTTTTACCATTGTTTTGGCAAATTCGAAAAAAATGCCGCTGTAAAAATATTAGTATAATAATAATAATAATAATAATAATAATAATAATAAATAGTTTTCCGACAACACGGTTATCGTTAATCACGTAACAGCAAAATCAATTTGTTTGTTTCCTAAAAGAATTGCTAGATGTGTTTTGGCACCAATTTGTTTAATTTTTCAACACATTTTCCGTTTAATGGTCTCCAGTTTTGTATGATCCTACTTTTTAATTTTCGAATGCTATCGAACTGCCTTCTTTTAGCATATACTATCTAACTAATAATTCTCAATTATAATTCAGTCGGTCTATCTTGCTGACTATTCTCAGATCTTAATACTTTGTTGTTTAATGCACTCTTTCACAGACATTGGCGTATGGATGGTTGCGTTATATTCTTGAAAAATAACATTTGGCTTCTTCATTTTATCTGCATACTTCCTTATCAGTTCGTCTATAAATGTTATGAACTGTTTATTTTTCCATTTATAAATTAAATTTCTGTGTTTCCAAAGTATCAAACTTCTCACCTCCACAACTTGCATGTGTAATGCGTTATATTTACTTCAACCTCTATCGTAATTTGTCTGGCAGAATTGATATTTATAGTAGTTGTCATTTTCTAACATCCTGTGCTTTTTTTTGCCATAATTATTTACATTTCTGATTAGTGAATTAAACTTTAGTGTTTCCAAAGTATCCAAATTTGCACCTCCACAACGTGCATGTGTAATGCGTTATACTTACTTCAGCCTCTATTGTATATTTATAGTAGTTGTCATTTTTTAGCATCCTGTGCTTTTTTCTTGTCATAATTATTTACATTTCTGAATAGAGTGCAGATTTTATACATTTACAATATAAATAATATAATGAACACGTGTTAAACATATTTAAACGGTATGCACACTCATGCAAAATGATATAATAATGATAATTGTAGAATATATTCAATGCTTTATTGCTTGAATGCTAGATTTGTTGTAAATGTGTGTACGAAGGGTAAAATTAAAGGTAAAAACTAATTTAATTGGCGGAGTATTATAAAAATGCGAGGACTGCGTCAACGTGAATGCCAAAATAGCGTCCGCGGCACAA